ACACAATTACTGAATGCAAATACGAAATCATTTTCCTGGAAAATCTCTGTTTGCAATCAAAATACTCTCTTACAAACTCAACCAAAATACCTCTATCTATTCATGTGTGCCCCGAAAATAGAAAATCAGAGCCATTATTTAGATGATACACATACAGTCACATGTGTTATCATAACACTGTACATGTATATCTTATTGATATCAATTCCTAGGGCAGCATAAATATTGAGGGGTCAGTGACACAAAGACGTAACTCCATTTTGGCAATTTTGGGAAAAAAGTGGTTTATGTGTCACTGAGCACTTTGGCCTTAAAGGCCCACTGCACTACTTGTACCTACTTGCGCCCTCTATATAAAAAACAATGCCTAATCGGTGACCATGGGTCTCCCATGATCCTCTTTTTCTAATGTTAACTGAGAGCTGAGTTAATGAGATAACCACCTGTCCAGTGACCTTGCAGGGCAGTCTAATCCCTCCTGTAAACTACGGCAGATAAGCTTTAAGGAGTCAAGTCTATGTTTCACTAGCCATTGACTTCAATTTATTTATTTTATTTTTTTTAATTTATTTTGGTTTAAAAAGACATATAAATATACATGATTCAAAGGTCCAAGGACCAAAACTGTTCATGTTTACAAATGATACAATACGGTTATAAATACAGTAAATATACAATAGTGAGCCAAACGAAAGGTACAAAATACGAAAAACAATACGAAATTAAGATGACAAAAATAATACAACTCCATCAATACAATACCAAAATAAACTAAGAGAAAGTAGAGTCAAGATCATCAAATTACTAAACTGATATATGGTAATGGTAGCAGATAAACAGACAAAAATAATGTTGAGCAACCAAACAATCAAAGAAAAAAGGGGAAAAAATATTTTGAAGATAGGCAACGATAAAAGCCTTAAAACCTGAATTAACATAATTACGTTTGAGTTGATAAGATAACCACACAGAAATATATATATATTACAAATTGGAATCGACTTTAAAAATTTGTTATACAATGCCATTATTAAAATATAACGTACACCAAATTGTGAATGTGTCAATTAAAAGATTCTGAGGAATAAGGCAAGAGGGAGAGAGAGAGATGGAGAGAGAGAGGGAGAGAGAAAGATGATAGAGATAGAGATAGAGAGAGAGAGAGAGAGAGAGAGAGAGAGAATCAAGGCTTATTAATTGTACGAACAAGAGAAGGAACAGCAGAATTTGCATATCAGCTAGTCCTGCACCTAGGAATGACCAAACCATGATTATTAACGGAGGTGGCGAAAATTGGGCAAGGAATTCTTTAGATGGTGGAAGTAAGTCTGGAGTTAAGTCTTTGTGTTTCCTGGAAAGCCCACATTTTTATGAACATTTTGATATCCGAAATACTCATTTTGGAAAAATAAGAAGATACGACTTTGTGTCACTGAATCCTCGATATGATACGAAAAGTGTGTGCAATACAAATTAAAGACTGACAAAAGGAGAAGAAAGAGGGAGAGAGAGAGAGAGAGAGAGAGAGGGGTGCGTGTGGATGTGTGTACACGTATGTTTGGGTAAGAGAGAGAGGTGTGTGTTTGTTTTTAGGTGTGGGTGTGGGTGTGTGTGGTTGGAGTGAGTGAAAGAGATAGAGAAAGGAGCATGAATGTGTGTCTGCGTGTGGTGAGAGAGATGTGGGAGAGGGGGTGAGGGAACAAGGGGATGAGGGAACAAGAAAGAGAGAACAAGAAAGAGAGAGCAAGAAAGGAGGCAAATGTGAGTGTGAGAAAGAGAGGAAGAGTGTGTGTATTGTGGGTGGCTGAGAAGTGTGCATGTGTGTCTGTGTGTGGTGAGAGGGAGAGAGAAAGAGTGAGAGATGCGTGTTCATGTGGGGGAGGGAGGGAGGGAGGGAGGGAGGGGGGAGGGGGGAGGGGGGTGGGGGGAGGGGGTGGTAGGTGAGGAAATAGAGAGAGAGAGAGGAAAGCAAGAAAAAGAGCAGAGTGTGAGAAAGAGAGTGTGTGTGTGTGTGTGGAGTGGGTACATGCAAGTGAGTGCAGAGAGAAAAAAAGAAAGGAGAAGAAAAAAAAAGGACAAAAAGTGTGTTTGTTCGGGTATGAGAGAGACAGAATGAGAGAATGAGAAGAAAGAATTTTTAGCAACTTTTTCTGTATTGTTATAATCCCTGATAGCATGGACACCATACAACAATACCAAATCAATTATGACTGCCTACCAAGGTTAAACAAATCTAACATTCTGAAATATCTCAAAACTAGGGCAGGTCACCTTACAGATACTAAGTCCATTTTGCAGCCAATATCAAATTCTGTAGAACTTTGCAGGAATTATGACTATATCATGTATGTCCTATCTGTGAAATTTAAACGTTAGCAGTGTCCTAATATTCAAATTATGCAAGGAAACCCATTTACTTATTAGACTGCACTGTCAGACACTATTGAGTGACTGACTGGCTTTTTTCTTCTTCGGTACCCAGATAACAATACGACGTTACGCCAACCTCTTTTCCACCGTATGCCGACGTCTTTCCGACATTGGACCAACGTCGTCCCAACCCTTTTTTAACCATGTGCCGACGTACGACCAACGTTATGCCAACCCCTATCCCACCATGTGCCGACGTTGTTCCGACATTGGATAAACGTTATGCCAACCCTTATCCCACCATGTGCCGACGTCTCCTCGACATTGGCCCAACGTTATACCAACCCCTTTTCAACCATGTGCCGACGTCTCCACGACGTAGGGCCAACGTTATTCCAACCCCTTTCCCACCATGTGCCGACGTAGTTCCGACATTGGACCAATGTTATGCCAACCCCTATCCCACCATGTGCCGACGTCGTGGGCTGTTACGTTGCGCCATCGTCGCCAATGTGATGTTGGGCCAACGGCTTTCTTGCCGGCGGGCCAACGTTGGCTCGACAGCGACGAAATGACATTAAGCCAACATCGGGCCAACGTCCCCCCGACGTATGACCAACGTCATGTCAACCCCTATCCCACCATATGCCGACATAGGACAAACGTAATGCCAACCCCTTTTCCACCATGTGCCGACGTCTCCCTGACGTAGGACCAACGTAATGCCAACCCCTTTTACACTATGTGCCGACGTCTCCCCGACGTTGTCCTAACATAATACCAACCCTTTTCCCACCAAGTGCCGACCCCTCCTCCACCATGTGCCAATGCTAGACCAACGTTATGCCAACCTCTTCTCCACCATTTGCCGACGTAGAAGCAACGTTATGCCAACCCGTATCCCACCATGTGCCGACGTTGTACCTCCCCTTTCCAGTTCATGCCAACATCCTTCTGACATTACCAACACCAACTCAAAAACATATTCACACCAACATCAGTCGTCCGTTCATAAGAACATCGTCAAGATCATACTACATCGGACATGTACAATCATTCAAACACATGCATCACGACTTGACAAGGAAAAGCCAAGTAGTTTCAGATTGGATTAAATAAATAAACACAGCAAAATCCACAAAATGAAGATAGTAACAATTTCATCAAAATTAGACTGAATTCGAGAAAAGTTCATTATAGAACTCGACTTAGATCCCTCTGGAAGATATGTATAATAACAATATTGAAGCAAGAGGGACATGTTATTTTAATTTCGTCATGTCTATTATCTTGTACATTTTAAACACTATCAAAACTTGATAACAACTTATTTGTCCCATTTTAATGAAAAGTTCACCATCTTGCTTCTTAGAATTTGCTCTGAATACATCCCCCTCCCTCCAAAACAAAAGAACAAGGAAAATAAACTGATTTTGTGATAAAACATACTTTATTTTATGTGTAATAAACAAACTTGTACATGTGAATACAATTATTGTACATCTTTCTTTTGTATTTACGTTTGAATTCGAAAAAGATGTAAACATAGTTTCAAGTTCAAGGTATCTCAATGTATCACAATATAGGCCTACTATCAATGAATGCTTGGACGATAGGAGCTGTTATAAAATGAATTGTCGCTTACACGTAACACAACATAACATACTGAAATTCATTGTACGAATATAATAAACAATCCTCACAACTTCCCGAGTAAAACAAAACAAACTTTCTGGCAGACGAACACGATTGCTTATGACAAGATTCCTCTACATATGTACAGCACAAAAATATAAAGAAATTAATAAAGTGTCCACCATTTGCATACCAAGAACTAGGCAATTAATGTAAACAATGTTCCATAAAAAATAAAAAATAAAATTCAGAGAAATTGCCAACATTTTTTATGCTTAGGCATTTCAGAGATGCTGATACATTTCGTCGCCATATCTATTGTTAACACATCTACAAACTGTTTTTTTTTGTAGGAGGGATAGTATACATTGCTTGAATGTGTGAAGTAAAGCAATCGCTAAATGTTTATATAACAAGAGAGGAAATTTGAAAATGAAGTAAGAAAGAGCAGAGCTTGTAAAGGGAAAAACACAAGTTTCTTCACTCTGATATACCACTTTCAATATTTCTTTAAATTGAGAAGAAGGTAGTACGAAAAACATTCAGTCACTTAGATATATGAAACATTTTTTTCTTACCTTTGAAATTCTTTATAGCATGCATTTAGTTGACACGTTATACAGGCATTCAAATCAATTACGACCTTCTTCGACTCATGGTATAGCTCTCTTTTTAAAATTGGTCCATTAGTGAAATTTCACCACAATAAATAACAAGTAAAGATGCATAGCACACTATTTACAGTAATAACAAAAGTTATTGTTTATGTTTGTGTACAAAACATGATGCCTGCAGAGCTGGCTAGCAAGCACCGTAGCTTGCCTAAGCGGAGATCGTTCTTGATATAACATCACTAATCCTTTGGTCAATCATTCCGAGGAACTCTGAGAATTGTAAGGGGCGGGGTCCACCATTAGACGAGCAACTTGGAGAGGTTTTCGAAAAATTGTAAAAAATATAAGGAGGCATTTATTTATGAAACAATTGTTATTATGTTGCTTTAAAAGGGTCTTGATACAAGACATAAAAGTTTTAATTTCCTAAGGCAATGGACCTTTAAAGAACGGGTTAGTCGGAATCAAAATCTTGTCTAGCTTGTGGTGGTACAACTTCGACATCTGCGGCAAAAAAAAGAAGAAGAAAGAAACCAAACAAGATTTAAAAGCAGATCATGGAAACATCACCTTGAAATAGTACGGATATTAATCAAATAGTACGGCATTCAAGGGAAGTAGTCCTGAGTGGCACATCCTCCCTAGTTTTGATGAAATTTCATGGATAGAAGTACTTTGTCATGAAAATAACTTCGTTCAAACTTTAGAGCGAATGACCCAGACGTATGGAAATTAGAAAGGAATGGATTTCTTTTATTTTTTTCTTGTTTAATTAGAATAGCATCAAACACTCTTCTTAACAAAGGAAATATACATTTGAGGTAAAATGGCAGTAATATTCTTCAATAGAAAGAACCAATTTATAGTATCTGTTTGCTCAGTGTTGAGATGCTTGATTGATAACAGTTTAAAGCCCCTCTTAAGTGTTGGATCCCAAAATTAGCCAAAGAATAGATGGCACAATCTCACTTAAATGGTATGATGTAAAAGAGGATGTCATTAACACCCGGACACTTCTGCAAATAGAATATTGCCCTAACAAATGTGTTTGAAGTAGAATATGGATGAAAGAATACAAAATTTGCGTTTTCTGCATACAACACAAAACCCTTAGTAAGTTTGTATTCTTTCTAATTTTTAGGACAAATGTTTGAAGAAGAGTGGCATTTTCTTTCACATCATTATAACATTGAAGTGAAATGTGAAGCTCCCAATACTTTTTTTTTGTATTTATGTAAGCTCCCAATACTTGAGAGAGCTCGAGGGGCTTCAAAGTAGAAACAAAAACACAAAGCTATATCGTTAGTTGCTTATACAAGAAACAAATCAATTGACTGTGTTTTGTTTTTTGTGGCACCCTGCATTCAGAATTGTTTCCAAAAAATTACTGCTATAAGCAGTATTTCATGATTTGTTGTTGTTGAATAGTTTTGTAAGTGATCACAATGCAGTTTCTCAATATAATCAGGAAAAAGATACTAGCATCCGTTAGCAGCTATGTCCTACACAAACATACATTAATCCAGTACATTTGTACTTTGTGTGCAGCACAACTATAACGAATACTAAGAAGTGCTATCCTGTCTACATGTATAACTAAATACAAAATGAATAAAATGCCAAATGACATACCCATATTTCTGAATGTTGAGGTCAATGGGGTCGTTGGGGTCGACAGTGTTCTGGAGGTTGATGGGGTCGATGTCGAAGAGGTCCTTGGTGCTGTTGATGCTGTTCTGGATGATCGAGGTAGGGGTAGCTGGATCTGAACGGGTAGACGATATGAAATGCAGGATTTAATATTTAAATTTCAGAATTGTAGGGATTATGGGAGAAAAAAGTATTGGGATTTGGAAGAGCTATATAGAATTTAATGTATTAATCAAGAACGTCAGAATTTTAAAAATAAATAATTAGAATTTTTACCTTCAGTTCAAATTATAGCAATTTAATATACATGTGCATAAACAATAAAAACAAATTTGAAAATGAGAATAAAAATGCAGCAATAATCAAATTTGTGAACGAAAATTGTGAATGAAAATTATGGGATTGATCAGTGTTACCCCCGCCCCCAATAGTTTTTCCTATTTACTATTTGATCAAATTGAGGTTCTTGGCCAATTGCGACTTTAAATGATTGCAAATGCCAAAATGAGGGTAATTCCCACCAGCTACCTCTTTCACATCACACTCACAATCCACTAAATGTGTTGATTCAAAGTTCTTGCATATTTTGGCAGACTTGGCACACTCCCTTGTAAGATTTCAGGAGGCTAGAAACATGTACTAGCGGGATATCTTAATTCACAGCCCAATCTCGTAATTTATTCCTTTTCGAACTGAATCATCATCAGCATATATTGAGCTACTACAGAGTATAGTATAGACCTACTTCTAAATCTGAAAGTATCAGAGACTATAATATCATTTAGATATGCATAAAAAAATGATGCGTCTTCCCATTCAGCTCTATTTGATTCAATTGGTCTTTCCAACAATGCATCATGCAGCACCTTCAACACTTGTAACACCAACAGATTCACAATCATTTCATTCATGGTCGATATTGCATATTGGTATGAACATCATCACTGTCACGGACGCTGCAACATGATGCATCAATACATTACGTAGGTCTAACTCTAAGTCAGGAACATATTAACATTTATCACGGCAAACACTCAATGCATCTGATGCCGACACTTCGGCCCCCATCATAGCCATCATAGCCATCACTCACACTTCAATTGCACGCAGCGGGTGTGCATGCTAAGCGTACGCCGAGCGGTACACTCGATCGTATACTCACTTTCACTTTCATTTGGACAGGGAATTATCAATGATTACTTTAACAATTTCTCATGCTATTTCCCTCGCTTTGTGACGGGGAGTTCTCACACTATACAATTTATCAGTTTCACGCGACATGCTCACAAAAATAACGTTGAAAGAGAAAGAAAATCATTCATTTACCATGCAGTGTTGGTACTCCCCGGCAACTGATCCAGACAAATGGACAGGATATGGCTGATCGACGTACGTTGCAATTGCATGAGCACATGGGCATGCGCACGCATGCATTTTTTTTTACCCGGATGTAGCGGTACTAGGTCGTATTTGCTACGTTGGACCAACGTCATATAGCCAACCAATATATACATGCACTATTTATCAGTAAAGATGGAGACGATATAGACCAACGTTAAGCCAAGGTTGGCCCAACGTCGCGTATATTAGCCAACATATCCACCATTTCTCAGTAAAATTTGAAACGATGGACCAACATTGAGCCAACGTTATAGCCAAACGTCGAATAGCCAATTAACAGCCACAATTTATCAGTAATAATTGAGACGATGGACCAACGTTCAGCCAACATTGGCCCAACATCGAATGGCCAGCCAAAAGCCAACATTTAAAATTTAAAATTGAGACGATGGACCAACGTTCAGCCGACGTTAGCCCAACGTCGAATAGCCAACATATGGAAACGTTTGCTTGTATTTGTCTCATAAAAGAAGTGACTCCCACACGGTGTTGAGTGCTCAGGGGTCACAGGCCACTGGCTTCATCGGGCAGGTAGTTCCATAATGTGAATGGGTAAATTAACTATTACAAAATGAGGGGACACATTACATTGTACAATAGGGACACACATTGTTTTTATTGTGCAGAACATACTCTTTTATTGACTTACTTATTGCATGAAACTATAAAACCAAAATGCATTTTGTATTCTAACAATTGAAATACAAAGAATAATAACATGTGAATGAAATGCATAAACACCAAAAACACCTGGGGAGGAAGCATTCATAAATTTGAATACATATAGTTGATAAACGACTCCGATGAAACTATAAAACCAAAATGAAATTTGCGTTCTGGCAATTGGAGTACAAAGAATGGTAGCAGGTGAATGAAATGCTTCAACAGCAACACAAACACCTGGGAAGCTAGAAAGCATCCATAAATTTAAATAATTTAGTTGATAAACGGCTCCGCATGTGGATGTTTTGTTGGAGCAGAAAGCAGTGGATTCTTAACAACAGGAACCCATTTAACAGAATGTCGGAACGTAAATAAAATTTGGCGCGGTTAGAAAATGCATCTTTCTACCCTGCGACTTGAATGGTACCATCCAGTAAATTAAAACAGTAAAATGGCTTTTATTTTAAAATTACTCATTAAATAAAGCCCAAAACTTCAGTGATATCAGAAAAAATATGTTAAATCTTACTAATAGTTAAAAAAAGATGTATAAACATTGTGAAAGTGTCGCATTTTACGATAAAAGACGCCGATTTAGCGAAGATGGCGTCATTAGTGCGCTTGCATCAGGGAATTCAAGGTCAAAAGGTCAATTCAGACACTGATAAGTTATTGGTCGAGCCTTTTTGTTTCCTTTATTCCGACAAAATTATACAATCAATCAAAACAAGTTTAATACCAGAAGAAAGCTAACGATAAGTATTTTCATTAACCTATTTTCATTAAATTGAAAGGAGTGAGAGCTTGCGAGAGCGCTCAAAGTGTGATTGAAACTCGCTATTTGCTCTTCTCCAACGCAAAAAGAGACGACATTGTGCTGGATAAATGTATTTTTTCCGACAAAAGTACAGTAAATTTGCATACGGTCTTTTTATATTATACTTCATGAAATGTTACCCGAGTGAATTCCGGGCGCCCCAATGCTGGAAAGAAACGCACATTTTAGAAAACTTCAATTTTTCATGGAAAAATGCTTATTTGTTCTATGCACGCAAGTCAGATTGAGCGGATGATACAACGTTTCCATATGCTCAAAGCCACCATTTAAAAAAAAAATTGAGACGATGGACCAACATGAAGCCAACATTGGCCCAACGCCGAATAGCCAACCAATAGCCAACATATTTATAAGTTAAAATTGAGACGATGGTCCAACTTTCAGCCCACATTGGCCTAACGTCGAATAGCCAACCAAACGCCAACAGTTATCAGTAATATTTGAGACAATGGACCAACGTTCAGCCAACATTGGCCCAACGTCGAATAGCCAACTAATAGCCACCATTTATCAGTGAAAATGGCGACAATGAGCCAACGTTAGCCCAACGTCGAATAGCCAACCAAAAGCCAACATTTATCAGTAATAAATGAGACAATAGACCAACGTTCAACCAACATTGGCCCAAAGTCGAATAGCCAACCAATAAACAACATTTATCAGTGATAATTGAGACGATGGACCAACATTTAGCCAACATTGGCCCAACGTCGAATAGCCAACCCAAAGCCACCATTTATCAGTGAAAATGGCGACAATGGACCAACATTGAACCAACAATAGCCCAACGTCGAATAGCCAACCAAAAGCCACCATTTATCAGTGAAAATGGCGACAATAGACCAACGTTCAGCCAACATTGGCCCAACGTCGAATAGCCAACAAATAGCCACCATTTATCAGTGAAAATGGCGACAATGGACCAACGTTCAGCCAACATTGGACCAACGTCGAATAGCCAACCAATAGCCACCATTTATCAGTGAAAATGGCGACAATGGACCAACGTTCAGCCAACATTGGCCCAACGTCGAATAGCCAACCAATAGCCACCATTTATCAATGAAAATGGCGGCAATGGACCAACGTTCAGCCAACATTGGCCCAACGTCGAATAGCCAACTAATAGCCACCATTTATCAGTAAAAATTGTGACAATGGACCAACGTTCAGCCAACATTGGCCCAACATCGAATAGCCAACCAAAATCCAACATTTATCAGTGAAAATGGCGACAATGAGCCAACGTTAGCCCAACGTCGAATAGCCAACCAATAGCCAATATTTATCAGTGATAATTGAGACGATGGACCAACATTTAGCCAACATTGGCCCAACGTCGAATAGCCAACCCAAAGCCACCATTTATCAGTGAAAATGGCGACAATGGACCAACGTTCAGCCAACATTGGCCCAACGTCGAATAGCCAACTAATAGCCACCATTTATCAGTAAAAATTGTGACAATGGACCAACGTTCAGCCAACATTGGCCCAACGTCGAATAGCCAACCAAAATCCAACATTTATCAGTGAAAATGGCGACAATGAGCCAACGTTAGCCCAACGTCGAATAGCCAACCAATAGCCAATATTTATCAGTGATAATTGAGACGATGGACCAACATTTAGCCAACATTGGCCCAACGTTGAATAGCCAACCCAAAGCCACCATTTATCAGTGAAAATGGCGACAATGGACCAACATTAAACCAACAATAGCCCAACGTCGAATAGCCAACCAAAAGCCACCATTTATCAGTGAAAATGGCGACAATGGACCAACGTTTAGCCAACATTGGCCCAACGTCGAATAGCCAACCAATAGCCACCATTTATCAGTGAAAATGGCGACAATGGACCAACGTTCAGCCAACATTGGCCCAACGTCAAATAGCCAACCAATAGCCACCATTTATCAGTGAAAATGGCGACAATGGACCAACGTTCAGCCAACATTGGCCCAACGTCAAATAGCCAACCAATAGCCACCATTTATCAGTGAAAATGGCGACAATGGACCAACGTTCAGCCAACATTGGCCCAACGTCGAATGAGCCAACCAATAGCCACCATTTATCAGTAAAAAATGGCGACGATGGCCCAACGATTAGCCAACGTTGGCCCAACGCCGTATTGTTATCTGGGTAATAACAGGGAGACTCTCCCTGGTAATAACAAACATAAAATGAGCTTTGTCTACATCAATAACCCACTTCTTGTAATGGCCAAAATTAAACTGATTGAATCTTTGCGCAGCATAAAACATACAACCAATATTCGGTACAATAGTCCGAAAATCAGACTATTGCTTACTGGCTCTATAGCTCGTAAGTCAATTCAACAACTAATACCCCATTCACAGTGGTTTTGAAATTTGTAGCGGCGTTGTAGCGGAGCGGCGACATCGCCATAACACCGCTACAAATGCATTCACAGTAGAAAAGTTATCCCGCTGCAGCAGCGGGATAAATATCATGTACCCATTCACGCTGCAGCGGGTGATTTTTATTACCTCCGTAACAAACACGTGTATGCATGGCTCATGACCCGCGAGTGACCCCGATATGACCGGAAATACTTCAGCGCGGGGTTTTCGATTGCTTGAAATTGCGCGCGCTAGCTGTACTTTACACACTCTTCCTCATGTAGCTAGCTCGATTTAGCTATGGATCTATCTATACTTTTACGTATTGCTGTCGCTTTCATTCTACTGGAATTGCTTTTTGTATCCTGGATCATATTACTTTTTAAAAAACTAGCATTTTTATTGCTTCCAGTCAGAATATTTTAATTTTTTGAAGTGTGAAATATTTTTATTTGGATAATTATAATATCTACATAATAATAAAATCAATTTGAATCCACTGGTTACTTTATTTCTATTTCACTTTATGTTCCCCATTGCTGGAGAAAAGAGGTCAGTGATAGGTAAGTAAACAAATCACACGTGTTTGTCGCGGTGTTATAGCGGAGAGCCTTCACACTGAGTAAACACCGCGACAGCAGCGGGACTGTCCCGCTGCTGTAGCTAGGCGAACCTAGCGATAGTTTGTCGCGGCGTTATCGCGAGGCGGTGTTATCCCGCGATAGTTTATAACGGGTCCGAGCCTTCACACTGAAGACAACACCGCGACAGCAGCGGGACAGTCCCGCTGCTGTCGCGGTGTTTGAGGCCACTGTGAATGGGGTATAATAGTCAGTATTTTCCTACTTAAATAAATTTTCAAGCCCCCCCCCCCTTTTTTTTAGGGAAGTTCTAAATTTGTATTATCTTTCAAATGCCGTTGGAATTTAGCCTTTTCATTTTTTTGGCCTGCAAATGGGACATAGTACCTTTAAAGAGATTGGGTAACTTTGTCTCAGATTCTAAACAAAATCCTGGATTTAGCTCATGCATGCAATTATAATTATAAGCCTTTAGGTCAGTCAGGAATCCCATGACGTTTACAAGCTGCTCGCCTGTCTGATTAACAAGATATT